TCCTCCGAGGAACTCTATGAGGTTCCTCGATTCACGGATCGGATCTAGCTCTCCGAATTCATCCCGTTCGATTATCCTCTGGAGTGATGATAAGCCTAGTCGCGCTGTAATCCAAAATAACTCAGAGAACGCGAACATGGCGAATGACTGAAGGCGAGTGACGACGCGACGAATGTTCGTCAGGATGACGAAGAGGCTCTTGTGCTCCGACTTGCTGATGCTGGTTAGTTATGCTAGAAAGGCGTGCAAAACGCTCAGAATCAAAATCGTGTCCCGACTAGTCTGACCTTGGCCTTGAATTTCACTTTTATCGTTGTCTTCTTTCTCTTCGCGTCTTTTCTGTGTCGGATGTTCCTGTGACGACGGCCGCTGCGGTGGCGGCCGCGGCGGCTATGGCAGCTCTCCATGCGCGCTTTTCTCTTCTCTAACATAACGTAACGAAACGCATATTCCGAATCGCCGACATCGTCGACACAGAACCGATGAGGAAGAATACAGATTCTCTGGAATCGAACGCAGTGACTATGAAAAATCACAGAGAGAACAATCCAGAATCCGAAACTGGGAACTCGACAAGAAACGGAGATGTCAGAGGAGGGTCACTTCATGGGGCGATTTTTTTCGGGGTCTTCTTGGAGAGCATTCCCTCCCGGGTCGGGATGACCGGACCCCGATCAAGGAGCGACCTCGGCCTCACGCCGATCGGCGGTCCAGTTCGGCTTCATGGCTTTTCCCGGGCATACTTGCTGTTGCATAAGGTTGATTTGTTCTCACATAATCGCGAGGGCCGTCCACCATCGCCGCCGCTTCGCTGGCGGGCTACGAATTGTTATTCTACGATCAGCTGTGCGAGTCAGCCAGCCGAAAGGCCTAGTCTGCCTACATACTTTGCTACCTACCGGCCTGTAGCCTGTTTGGCAGCCAGCGTTAAACTCAGCGGACCGGCTGTTCTGAAGACTACCTTGGAGGATAGGCAGTCAGTTCGCGAGGCAGGCTGACAGACGCGCCGGCCGTTTGTTCATCGTATGACTCTGCGCGGCGGAGGGCAAAGCTACCTGGCGGTCGCGTGACTCCCAAGCAGCGGCTAACCAATGGGAGGTTGCTGTTTGGCCTGAGCGAGTCGTGTCCGCTTCTCGATCTTCTCGTCCAAGATTCGTTTCCAGCATCTCGCTCGCTCCCGCCGTCCATCGCCGGTTGAGATCTCAGAGAAGAGAACGAATTTATCCGGAAGAAATTCACCCAACGAATAAAAAATGAAACTTTGACGGAACTCTGTTCTTCGCAGGCATTTGCTGACGACTCGATGTTTATTTGCAGAAACAATGAGGAGCGCCGTCCAGAGCGGCTCGAGTCCTGAGGAGGCACCCGGAATCTCCGTCGCCCCCAGCGGCAAGCTCCGCCAGCACAATCCGAAAGAGACTTGCCGCGAAATATTCGGCAGAAGCAACGCGGGGCGAATTCGGACCCGCTCCCCCGTCTCTTCCCTTGTCGGTGGTGTCCTGGATCTGTGACAAGCTATCGATCGATCGCCAGCTCGCTCGCTCGGTGGCTCGTCAATCGCTGTCTCGTCGTCGTCAATCGGTCCCCCCCCTGTCCCTTGCAGTCGGTCGGCCGGTCGGTCGGTCGGTCCGTCAAGCGGTCTGTCCGTCTGCCCCTCCGTCCGTCATCCATTCATCAGAGCGTATCTGGGCTATCGCGCGGGAGAGCCAGCGAGAGAGCACTATGATCATCACGTACCATGAGTGGACAATCTCCATCACCCTCCTCGTCCAATCAGAGATCCCTTGACTCGGACAGCGGTGGTACAAACCCGTTCCCTGGCCAGCAAACAACCCAGCAGCTCTCACTTTCCCAGCAGCAGTTGCAACTGATCAGTGGGCAACAGCACTCACTCCAACACCTAACCCAACGGTGAGTCGCGCGATCCCTGTCGGGTTCTCGAATTCTCGGAGTTCAAACGTCGATTGGAGACTGAGCGAAACGAGCGCCGAAGTCCCCTCTGAGAAGGGAGGGCGTCTCGAAGTCCCTGCGGAGGAGCTCCCTTCCGGGGTAAAACTTATTTTTCGACTATAAGTTGCCCACCTATATGTTCTCAAGTCTCGTCAAGGGAAGAATTACCGCGACATACGTGAAAAAAGAAAATAAGGTCGTTGATAAAAATGGTAATTCAAATCTCCTCGTCCAGTACAGCTCAACTCAAACCAACTCCGCTCGACCCTCTCCTCTTATTCCTCTTTTCCCTCATGGCGCTCCTCAGACTGTTGAAGACCACTTCCGCTGCGAGCGCCTCTACTACGCTACTCCGACCGACCGTTTTTGTGCGGACGTCCGATTCGCGGTCATTTCTATTGGTGCTGTTAATTAGTTGTGCGACTGGTTCTAGTAGTAAACGAGGAGAATGTGCCCGTTTTCACCTAGCGTTCATTGCAGTTCCCTGCAGTCATCCAGCTTGTGGTCGGGGGCTTGCGGACCGTCACTGTCCCCAGTGGCGGCCGGCTCCTCCGGCCACACGGCTCTCAACGTGAGTCTCTCGTTGCCTTCGCTGCCTTTGACGCAGCTGGGCCCACCTTCTCCAGACGAATTGTCTCCCGTTCATCCCCAAGGTCCACCTTCGCCGGGCAGCGTCGCTCATATGCCGCTGACGCTTGGACACCATGGCGGCAGTCTTCTGACTTACGTCGATGATCTCGACTTCCTCGGTAAGCGTTGGATCTTCGACCACTCGATATGTAGATGATCGAACGAGTGGCTTGACCATTTATATATCTGGGAAGTCGCTTCGTCGCTTGAACGCGAGTAGTCTTTCGGAATCCCGGGGAGGAGCCTCGGGACCCCGGATTTTTCTGAAGTGTCTATGATTTCAAATTAATTTGGAGGGCCGCCCAGTTCTCAGGAGACAGTGAGCTGAAGTCGACTGATTAGCTCGCGAATTCTGATGTGAGAAAACGAGGGAGCCCTATCGCTTTGATTTCTTTCCTCCGATGCACCTTGGCGCCTAGGCGTCCAAGGTCGCCCGGAACTCCCACGCACCTACACGAATGGACAATTAGCCGACGGAATGAGACGAGTCTTCCCGCATTAATTCTGCCCTCTCTCGGACTTTTCGCAACCATGGATCGGGATTCTCCGTCGTGAAATCCGAAATCGACGAGATGAATATTTTCGACGGAAGGAAATCCCCTCAATGATGCTTCGACTCGATGCCGTTCAGAGACAGGATCAAGCGAAAGTGAAAGGATTCCCGGCCCCCGACCCTCGACGGTCATGCGACATGGTGCGACGCAGGCCTACGGGGGTCCACATGCCTTATGTCTTATGTCATTATGCCTGATGTACGAGCGAAAAACTGCCTGACGATTCGACGAACTCGATTCCGTGGAATCGGAGGCATCGAGCTTTCCGCCAATGCCACGTCGAGGCAGCTTATTGACCTACTCTCTGGAGCCGAAACGCTCCTGACCAGCTGACAACAGGCAGTTGTTCTTTCGGTATTTTATTCGCGTGCTTCTTTTCTGGTACGATGCCAGATACTCCCCATCCGCAACGCCGAACCAGCTCCGGCGGCTCTCAGCCAAGTCGACGGAGTGACTCATCATCACATCGAGAGGTCTATGCCGGCTGACTGACTGACTGGCTGTCGTTGTTGCTGGTCATCATCATCGTCAGCTGCTGCAGCTTCCAAGGTCATGACTGGCCGTCGCCATCGTCTATACGTTTCGCAGAGGACGACCGACGCCGCCGCCAGCGATGACAGCATTATGTCATACAGACCAAGCTGCGGTCGGTCAGCTTATCCTTCCGTATCTTCTGCTCACGTAGTTTCACGATTCCGATTAGAGACCCGAGTGCATGTGTCGCTGCTCCGTTTGGGGACCTCGCACATCGATGGCGAAGGTAGCGGAAGCGGCGGATCATGCGTGAGATCAGAGCAGACGATTGACCGCGGACACGAATCCTCGCGCACTCGGTTGATCATCAGACTTGAGTCAATGCTTCAACGGCGGGAAAGTCCAAGAATCTTGTTTGACGAGCGATTTCTGACTTCCAGGTTCTGGGGCAAGCAGTCCAAGCGGCGCGGGACTCGGGCCGTTGGGGACTGTTAGCGAGGAGAACAGTGTGGACTCATTCCTCTCTTCCCACGGAGTTTCCCGTCTTCCTCCTGTCTCTTCAATCATCAAGAAAGAATCGTCCCCTCCCTCTGCTCCTTCCACATTACAACAATCCGCCGATCATCAATCACAACAACAGCAACTCCATGGTCACTCTCAGAGCTCTCTAGAGGTTGGTTTTGGATTCTCTGTCGGCGGCGAGGTACTTGAATTCCCCTTCAATCCATCGATCACGATTTCGCATTCCTCCCGCAGAATTGCAATACTGTCGCGAGAAAAATCCCGAGTTCTGCTGAGATATATCTTGTTGTTGCAGCTCACTCCCCACGGATTCTCGAATCGAAGTATATCTCAGTTACTTCCGTCTCACTCATGTGAAACTCATCATGATTGGCAATATCAAAGTGATGCGTCTCTGTCCCTATTGCCCAAGATTCAAGGATCATCCCTAAATCTGCCCGTTTCATCTGTGTTCCTGAAACAAGAGCATATAGAAGTGAAGTCCGAGCTCGATCCATCTGAGGTGAGCGCGTTTCGTCAAAACCGTTCGCGGTGGTATGAAATGATTTAGGTTTCATTGAACCAGAACCAGGGCAAGGTATTCTCGACCTCCCGTGTCGAATTTCCGATGCATCTTCGTTGCCGAGCTAATTCCGTTTCCTTGTTTTTCCCATTCTTTATTTTGGTCCCCCTGCATCCCGTATCTTCCGATTGACATCCTCGCTGTTGACGATCTGAATGCCTGCACGATCGAACGAACAGTATGGCTCACTGGACTTCTCCCACACCCAGGCCCAGGGCTCCATCTTGCCCACAACCACTAGTCATTCATTGATTGGGCATCCTGGTCCAAGTCATTCGACCTCTGTAGACCAACACCCTCAGCTACGACAGCAACAGCCTCAGCAACAAGCTAGCGTTCCTCATCATGCCACAGCTCGGACCAGCAGAAGAAAAGGTCTCGGATCATCTCATCAACAACAGCAGCAGCAGCATCAGACCGGTTCTTCACAAGGAGCGCTGGCCGCATCGAGCGCAACGACAGCCGCCGTCGGGGGAGGAAGCAAGCAGCACATATGTCCCGTGTGCAGTAAGGTTTTGGCCACCCGAAACGTCTACCAGCTGCATATGAGGAGTCACTCCGGCGAGAAACCATTCAAATGCGAACAGTGCGGCAATAAGTTCAGCCAGAAGACATCTTTGACCCGACACTTCAGATCGCATACAGGAGAGAGACCGTTCCCCTGCGAAGTCTGCGGCAAAAGGTGAGACACGGATCTCTCGAGAGAATAGGTGGGAGCTTCGACCCCTATCCGTACCGGAAGTTTTCTTCGAACTCGAGTTCTTCTTTTTATTCAGTAAGGCTAATCCCTTCTTGTCTTCAGGTTCGCGGATAAGGAACGTATTAAGATACACATGCGCACCCATACCGGAGAGAAGCCGTTCAGTTGCGAAGTGTGCGGCAAGCGTTTCTCGCAGAAGTCGACGGTCAAACGGCACATGTCAGTGCACACTGGTGCCAAGCCTTTTCAGTGCACAACTTGTGGGAAGGGCTTCGCTAATCGAGGCAATCTCAACGCCCATGCCAAGACGCACGGCCAGAGCTCCAGCCATCTGCCCAGCTCTTCCGTCACCTAAGCGCCTCACTCGTTTTAGGCTCTTCACGTTCTTAATCATCTATAGGTTTTTTCTAAGAGGGGATTTCTAGCGTTATATAATATTTGTTATACAATACGATTTCGCTGTCGAGATCCGTCTGTCCATTCATGCATCCATCCATCCATTCAATAATCCATACCTACCAGGGGAGTCATGCCTCGGGTCAGACGTAGGCACGCTTCACCTTTCCTCGTTTTGGACGCACGTCAATGAACTTCTAGGAACCAAGAAAAATTAAATGTTCTCTCAAATCATCGCTACAGCTCGCCTCGACGGTCAATGAATTCTCGGGTTCAGATTCCCCTTTTAATTAATCTCGAGCCCTCCTCATGCAACGAGTTCATCCTCCACAAATTTTAGGTACCCGACGAGAGACTTTGGGCAATACCTACTCGACTTTGAAAAAGCGATTCCCAGGAGGAGAGCGCGCTGCGATATTCGGATCAGTAAAAGCTATGAGGGTCAGAAAGGCAGAGCGACGATAGCAGACATGAAGCGCTAACGGTGCAAATCATTCACGGACACGAGAACGGAATCGAGATGACCACGAGACTGCCAATTCTCCGTGAGTTTGAGAGTCCATGGAACGACCACTGAGCCGGGACCTTCGAGGCCTCGGGAAGCGTCACGAGGGATATCGCGAAGGAAAACGGTTCGACCGGATTTCGTGGGGAGAGGAAATTCGGCTCTGGCTCCGAGGGTAGGCTCTTGAGCGGAGCTCAAAGCTCACCAGGATGCACAGAGACAAGTCGGGAATGAAAGTGCATGACTTCAAACCCAGCAATACCCTTGAATCCATGGAGTTATTTATCGATGGGGAGAACGGGAGTCCGCGTCCTTGCAGTGATGAAGTGGACGAGCACATATACCTCCGTATGGAGAGCGCCAAGGGATGAGGAGCAGGACGCGCCGTCGGGTCGCGGGCGCGATTCGAGCTCGCAAGTCAGGTCGATTTTTCCGGTAGTGAGATCCGACAGACGAGCGAACAATCGGGAGCGGTAACGGACGATCCGCAGTGAAGCGGGGCGAAGACAAGGCGGTGTTTACGTTCGACAAGTACAAAGTACGGGCATTGACTCGAGGGCGATAATAATTATTATGCCGATATTATCATTGACGATACTGCTATAATTCAATAATGATCATGATGACAAACGTAATGTTCAATAATTGATACGTACGAGCGATTAACTGAGAAAAGGTGCTCTGAGCGGCGAGCTGCGCCCGCGTTTCACATTCTGTGACACAAAACGATTTAGGTGCGGTATGACTGTGGCGGTAAAATATACCAGATCTCAGGTTTTTGAGTCAGACCGAGCGGACGTTGAGGTGAATGGGTGCCGAAAGATGAACTTTGCCGGCCGCTGGATCAAGTCGACGACGCCTGATCGATTAAAGAACCTCTGGCTCAATGAGTGAAGTTTCCCTTTCTCGATCGGGATGAACATTCATCGCGGAATAATTACAACGACCAGGTTTCTGACAAGCTGAATGGGATAACAGCCGAATCATGCATGATTCCGGCGAGAAACGCAATAATTTCGCTTGGCTCACTCTCTCCCGCCTCGGCAGTGGCTATCTTAGATTCTAATTGCAGTTCCATCGGAGAGGGGGAGTCCCAAACGAAGCAACTCGTGTGAGATGTTTCTTCGTCTTGCATTCGACTTAGCATGAAGAAAGCAGTGCTCTTCCTTGACGGGTGTCAATCAAATGCCTCAAGTACCTCAGACTCTCAGATCGAGATCCGCCTAGATGCATTGCTAATCAAGAGAGTCCTCATGATGTTACTGAATGACGACTATTAATATTATTTAAATGATACCTAATATATCCAGCAAGATTGTTCAGCGCCATAACACGATGACTGAAGAATGATATCCCAAACAATCCGGTAGTCGGAAGCACGGAACCGACGCGACGAGCGCAAGGGCTACCACTATGGTCAATTTCCTCGCTCGAGGTTTGAGCACTTTCGCCGCTGTCGTCACCGAGGTTAGCGGTTCGGAGAGAGCCCTCACCGAACACCAATTTCCTCGGTACACCTAGTGATATGGTAGCGAAAATTGACGAGTACGGAACTGCCCGAGTTGGTCTACGCCTATTATTCAAGAGAGCAGAGTGGCGTCCGTGGGGAGGGGATACGAGTGGAAATTTCTAGTTATAGAAAAGTTGTTATTTTGTTACAAACAGAGAGGGCGCAAGCGCGGTACGAACGTACCCGAGTGTTCACTTGATCGGAGCAACAACTAGTGATATTATTAACAAAGTTTGTCGCGGACTGTCTGATAGAATAGGGAGAAATTATTCCGGTAATAATGATAATGAGCTTTCGAGCGGAAGTGAAGCCACCCTTTAGTGCAAAGCAAGCCTGGATAGCCAATCGACACGGCACCGAATGAGTTCTCGGAACTAGGCGATGCGTGCGGCAGACTTACGCGAATCTGTCTGTCGAGGTTCGAATCTATCGCTAGGATAATCACCTGTGGAACGACGCATTACCGAAGCGCTCGATCTTGGTTCTGTCTCATCTTCTAGATTCGGCAGCGCACGTCTGGTTTGCAGACCACTGTCAGATGTCCTACGGAGCGGAAATGTACTCGTTGACACCGCCGAGAATCAGAGACTCAATCTGCCGCCTGATTTTTTCCTATGGACGTAACCAAGTTCCGAGAGTCATTCTTCAAGCAGCCAAATGGAGAATGGAGATGGAAACATGGCTCAGCTCAAGCCTCGTAGTTCTTGTTCGCGGGGTGGATTAGCCATAGAATTCCATATTGTCTGTCGTCGAGTCTGCGCAGGAGACGTCAAGAGGGAGACCGAAGTGTGAGTGAACGATTCAAGCGACCTTCCCCATCGAGTACTACATACACCCACGGAGAGCAACGCTGTCCACAATACAATGAACTCTATCTCTGAGCCCTGTCCCCCCGGGAAAAAGATGCTGGGCTCTTGTCCAACTCCCTTGACCCTAAATCGGTCAACCCTACTCTGATTCTTCGATTCTTCTGCTAATATTATAAAAAACAAATTCATCTGATGAGCGAACTGCAAGAGCTACCCATAAGTCTCGTGAGCCTTGACTCTGGACTTACTTAGGAAGCATGTACTATTCTATGCTGAAAAGGCGGGCATATATTCGAAGGAACTGGTGAACACCTGGCTAGCACTCATGCAAGTGACCACTAACAAACTTACAAGCAAACACCGACTGTTCCGCACCTCACGAATATGGAGCAAAATCCAAGCACAGAGGATACTTTGGAATTTCCCTCTAGACATAGCAAAGTTATTTTATTCAATCAATTGATAACTCCGACGTTCAGCTAGCCGACGGTAATCACGCAAGCTATGTGCAAGAGGTCTTCCGACGAGAGCAAAGCAAGAGCCGACTGCGTCGATTCCCTCTTTGGGATTTTCCGACGAATACCTTCAGCCGACCTTGGAACATCTCTGACTCCGATGGGAATCGGCGAACAGCTGAGAAGCGCTCTGGTCATTAGCTACTCTCACGAGAGTCTGACGAGTTTTCTGGACATCAAAAAATCTTCGATAATCCTCAAACCAAGGAGCTCAATGCACGACGTCGCCGTGCCACAAAGTACTACAGGAGCCTCTCTGCCGGCTTTGGAGCGATTGATTATTTTGTATATTCGAGCTAGGCCTGGTTAATGATGACGATATTCGACGAAGCGACATGCAATATTTTATGATTCTGGGGCAGGCTGCCAGGACCGGTGAGCGCCTCGAACGATGGGGCGATGATGAAGCTTATTTCGGAGCAAGCTAATGCGGCGGTGCACCACTTATTCTAGAGGCAATAAGGATATCTCATCCGGAACGCCGGAGCGCTCCCTCAGCTGGGGAAGCGAGATTCGAATATGCGACTCTCTCCTCAGACTCTCGAGCCAATCTCAGTAGGCTCGCAAGCCGGCTATCCTGGGCTGATCTCTCAAGTCTGATCAGCATTCTCTACGAATTGGGGAAACTTTTGAAGGCGAGTTCAGTCCACCATGGTGCGATCGGGCTCAGAAAGACGAGGACCCGAGGTTAGGGGGGCAGTCGGAGCCTAAGTGTCGTCAATGATCTTCGCCGACGTTTCGTTATTGGTCATCGCGCTATTGCTATTTGCCGCAAGACACTAGTCGAGGGTAGGTTCGGTGGGAAGAATCCAAGCTCGGGCCACTACCGCTGCAAAAACCTGACATCTCCATGGATGTCGTGCCTTAATCGAATTCCACGTTTTTGTTATTGGAGTCCGATGCTGGTGCGATTGGAGAAACCCTGCAGCTAGAGAAGTGTTTTTTGAGATCATCGATTCCGTGTCGGAGTCATTTGTGTAGAACGACTTGACGATTATTGACTCATAGGCAATCAGACAACCCTAAAACAACTAAGCCAGTCAGCGCGGTTGCCACAAAGTCAGCTACTTACTCAGGCGGCGAATCATACAAACCCACAGGAAGTTGACCTCGATACGCTTTTTCGTGCTGGTCCGTTTTGTACACTGTTGATTTCGCGGGTGCCACTCCATACAGCAGAACTTTGATCACAAAGGTTATTAGCCACAGTAGCGGCTGCAACATCAGCTGCCGCGACGAGGGTGATGATGGGCTCATGGATGAGGGAAATCTCTCGGGTCATCCGCGCAATGGAAATTCTGAACATGCCGTCATTGCCTTCGTCGTGAGTAGATTTTTCCACGGACGCGATTGGATTGCTGAATGAGGACGCCAATGGAAGTTGGAACGACCTATGACAGTGTCGTTGAAACCGTTCTGCATGGCTACGGCGATACGAGCATGTAGCTGTTACACAATGATTATAACGAATCGATTAATGCTAATTAATAATGTACAAGACGTGATTGAATGATGGTGGAGACGATAATAATATTGATCATGATAATTTATTTATATGTTTCATTATTGCCATCATTGTGATAAACCTGTTAATTTTGCAATATACACTTTATTGCGCCGTTGATGTTGTATTTAATTATACTGATAATAGCAGAGGCGACCATCATTGATATTTTCAAACAAGACTGAGGCTCATCATCGATAGTTTTCCCACCTCGATAAGACACAATCTATCCGCTTGCGCTCCAAGTCACCGCCCTCATGCGCGACGGGTCATCCGCATTCTCCTCCGCTGAAAATCGATCATGCCCCCATCTCTGAGAGCGGAATATCCCGCTGACGATCTGATGTTCGATTAAGATGGCTATGGAAATTCTGGAGAGAGAGTACGTAACTGATCAGAGTTCGAGTCTGGATTCAGGAAAGAATCATGTGACGGGAAAATCGAACTTTCTGAGAGTAAGATTCTGGAAATTCAATCTCGCGGATCCAGACATAATGGCAGAGGAAGTTGACCCCTCGATATGAGATTCGCCGATGGCAAGCCAGACGAATACCTATCCTCGTATTTTCTCTGGAGCCGAAGAAAACTTCTGCTCGCACTCCAACTTCGACTGATGGTAT